CGTTCCCACCAGTTAGTATGTCGTTCCCACCAGTTAGTATCTCGTTCCCACCAGTTAGTATGTCGTTCCCACCAGTTAGTATCTCGTTCCCACCAGTTAGTATGTTGTTCCCACCAGTCAGTAAGTCGTTCCCACCAGTTAGTATCTCGTTCCCACCAGTTAGTATCTCGTTCCCACCAGTTACTAAGTCGTTCCCACCAGTTAGTATCTCGTTCCCACCAGTTAGTATCTCGTTCCCACCAGTTAGTATCTCATTCCCACTAGTTAGTATTTTGTTCCCACCAGTTAGTATCTCATTCCCACCAGTTAGTATGTCGTTCCCCCCAGTTAGTATGTCGTTCCCACTGTTAGTATCTCGTTCCCACCAGTTAGTATCTCGTTCCCACCAGTTAGTAAGTCGTTCCCACTGTTAGTATCTCGTTCCCACCAGTTAGTATCTCGTTCCCACCAGTTAGTAAGTCGTTCCCACCAGTTAGTATGTCATTCCCACCAGTTAGTATCTCGTTCCCACCAGTTAGTATCTCGTTCCCACCAGTTATTAAGTCGTTCCCACCAGTTAGTATCTCATTCCCACCAAAAGAACTTACAGATGACTCCATATTTCCACATACAGAAGAACAGGGATTTGATTTATGCAATAAAAAGTCTAATAATAAAAAAACTCCAAGGAAAATCTCAAGTTACACACAACAAGTCTACATCTGCAGCACCAGTGGTTCTGAAGAACCGRGTTCTGCAGCGACACTGTTGGAATAACAAGAACCAATTCAGCCAAAGTGTTAAAATCAGAAAACATTTCTCCAGTCAAAGTGATCAAAAGTCAGCAAGATTTTAATTCCAAATCCCACAAGCTGTTGCTGTAGCAAGAGGAAATCCAGCAGCACGCTCGCCCTGCTCCACTGGTTGCTGCGCCTCACAGACGCTCCAAAGCCTCCTGTCCTTAAACTCTTCTGTGCTCTGTCATCTCCTGGAGATGCATTCAGTATGGTGTCTAGATCTGAGATGATGATCAGATGGGAATCTTTTATTCATTTTAGATTAAATAAGACACCTCCTTTATGCAGACCTGCTCTGTGCGTAAAGCTGAAAATGTCTCTGTGTGAGTGTGARGCTACAGCCTGGATCTCAATGCAGCTGATCGAGTGCTTTCCRCGATCAAAGGACAGCAAACRGACRGCTTCATCTCTGTGTCCCAGAGGAGGATCTGCACTCACTGCGCCTAAATTCATATTATCAGGCATACTGATAAGTACCTTCCAACCTAGGAGGTAGACCTCCTAAATGCTTAATCTAGACTAGATTTTATTTATTTTCAGCTGGATAGATTTAGCAAAACTACCCCGTTGTCAGGGAAACCATAAACATCCAGGAACCGTGGGTGGAAAGGCTCCGAGACTGTCACCAAGCTGCGGCACCAATCGGAGAAGAAGCAACGCAGCACTGTTTGTATTTCAGGCCAAACTGGAAATAAAGCTCAATTATGGCACAAATTTTCATTTCAGTAAACACACAGCTAGTCCAAAACCATCAGAAAGATCCTGTGAGGTATCTTGTGGGCACGAATTACTAACTGGTGGGAACGAGATACTAACTGGTGGGAGATAGTAACAAGATAGTTTTTTTCCCCATCCAATGTCCCTTTAGGGGCTCAGTACACAAACTCTAATACCAACTGCTACCAGATTTATTACACTTGCTTAAGACCTCAAACTGAGTTGGTCTGTCCAATATGGTAATGTCTAAAATTACTGTTGGACCTACATGGATAAAATTTACAGGACAATTCATGCATCCAGAATTGTTATCATGATCAATTTTCTGATCCTTTAAATTATTTTTTTGTATTTCACTAATGAATTATAAAATTATAAATGCTATAAAGATCGCACCACATTTTTCAATCACTGTGAAACTTACAAGAGATGATTTGTAGGCTAATTTGGTCAAAACTATAGATTTTTGTTTGAATAGTAATACATTTGAGGAATTTATATATTTTTTTATTTATTTAGCACTGTGCACTATATATAATTGCTTTTTTTCCCTATAAAAAATTATACCTGAGAGGCTTAAAATATTTATATATGTACATAATGCATAGTCAGCCATGTTTAGAGAATTTTTTGACAATCTCGTGATTTTTGGTGTTTTTTTTTTTATTTTATTTGAAGCCCATAAAGGGATAAAAGTGAAAAAGTTACCCCCACACACATACAGGTGCTGGTCATAAAATAAAATTAAAAAATCATGAAAAAGTTGATTTATTTCAGTAATTCCATTCAAAAAGTGAAACTTGTGTATTATTTTAATTCATTCCACACAGACTGATATATTTTAATATTTATTTTGTTTTAATTTTAATGGATTATAACTGACAACTAACGAAAACCACAAACTCAGTGTCTCAGAAAATTTGAATATTGTCAAAAGGTTTAATATTGAAGACACTCTAATCAGCCAATTAACTCAAACCACCTGCAAAGGCCTTTAAAGGGTCTCAGTCTAGTTCTGTAGGCTACACAATCATGGGGAAGACTGCTGACTTGACAGTTGTCCAAAAGACGACCAACAAGACACAAAAAGTCAATGCTAAAAGAAGATGGTTGTTCACAGAGCTCTGTGTCCAAGCACATTGACAGAGAGGCGAAGGGAAGAAAAAGATYTGGTAGAAAAAGTGTACAAGCAATAGTGATAACTGCACCCTCACAGAGTGAACTGCAGCTGGTGTCAGTGCTCCAAGAACCAAGACGCACAGACGTATGAAGACATGGGTTTCAGCTGTCTCKTTCCTGGTGTCAATCCACTCTTGAACAAGAGGCAGCGTCAGAAACATCTCACCTGGGCTAAAGACAAAAAAGACTTTGCTGCTGAGTGGTCCAAAGTTATGTTTTCTGATGAAAGTAAATTTAGCATTTTCTTTGGAAATCAAGGTCCCAGAGTCTGGAGGAATAGAGGAGAGATATAGAATCTACGTTGTTTGAGGTCCAGTGTAAAGTATCCATATCAGTAGCTGCGTTTCCATTGCAAATGTGCGTAAAACTTTGTCGATATTCTGTTAATGTCGAAAAGCACAGTTTCGCAACTGCTGTTTCCATTAAGTAAGAAATGCTATTAAAGTCACGTGAATGCATTTGTTCTCGCGATAAGTCATTACAAACATGGTGGCAATGGATGTAAACACACCCCAACACTAGCGCTCATCATCAGAGGAGATGTCTGTGATATTACTACTACTTCTACTTCCTGTTATCTTCTTCATCATCGTCTTTTTCACCAGTAGAAACAGCTGGTTGTTGATCACTTGACTCCTGTGATGCGAAAAAAGTGTTGCCATTGCAGTTTTGCGAAATACACCAATTTTGATACGGCTGAAAAATCACCTCATCCTAGTGCAAAAACATTTTGTCGAAAAACATATACATTTTTTTTCGAAATTGACGTGTTTCCATTGAGCAAATTTATTTTCGAAATTCTAATTTGCACATTTTCATGGTGAATGGAAATGCATCTAYTGATGGCTTGGGGTGCACCTGCACACAGTGCCAAAGCTACCAGTACCTGGTTTATGGACCATGGTATCCCTGTTCTTAATTGGCCAGTGAACTTGCCTGACCTTAACCCCATAGAAAATCTATGGGGTATTGTGAAGAGGAAGATGCGATACTCCAGACCCAACAACTCAGAAGATCTGAAGACCACTATCAGAGCAACCTGGGCTCTGATAACACCTGAGCAGTGCCACAGATAGACTCCATGACACGCCGCATTACTGCAGTGACCCAGGCAAAAGGAGCCCCACATGCTCATACATTTCATGTTCAAATTTTTCAGTTGGCCAACATCTCTAAAGATCCTTTTTATTTATTGTCTTAAGTAATATTCAAATTTTCTGAGACATTTTGGGGTTTTCATTAGTTGTCAGTTATAATCATCAGAGTTAAAATAAATAAACATTTGAAATACAGTATATCAGTCTGTGTGTAATGAATGAATATAATATGCAAATTTTACTTTTTTTAATGGAATTACTGAAATAAATCAAGTTTTTTCATGATTTTCTAGGGGGGGTAGCCAATGCCAACTTATGCATAACAGCAGGTTCTGAAGATATCTAAAGAACTGGCAGAACTGAAAAGGTGAAATTTCATTATCTGAGATTCATTTTGTGAATTAAATCTAATGAACATGTTTTGTATAGCCCACAAATGGATCCTAACTTGTTCTAGGAGCCCTATAATAAGTCACCATTAAAACAACATTGTTTTTGTTACAGACAGAAGGAAAACATTGATAAGACACACTGACTGTCTTCCTATGTTTAAACCATATGGCTGAAAATACAAGAATGGATCTTAAATTCAGGTGATCAGTCAAAATTTCCTTCAGGTGGATAGTAACTAGTTACATTTACTCAGTTATATTTACTTGAGTAACTTTTTGGTAAAATGTACTTTAAGGGCAGAGTGCCTTCTCCGGGTCAGGGGGGTCGCCCTGCCTCAAGTGGAGGAGTTTAAGTATCTGGGGATCTTGTTCACGAATGGGGGAAGAA